CACCCTTGTGGCGTTCTATAGGGGTGCGACAGGGACAGAGCGACGAAAGCACTGTTCGGGAATCCGCCTGGCTGCTCGGGCTGGCCGGCTGGCCGCGTCGTCCGGCCCACTGGCAGTGCTGGCAGTGTGCTGGCAGCCACCCCCATTACTCGCCCATCTCCTTCATGGCTCCAAAACGACTAGACCGGACTTTGTAACGTCACCCTTACGTCGCTCCAAATGGATGCCGCGCGGGATGCGGTCGGACCGCGGAATGCGGCAGGGCACGGCACTGTAGGGCACGCCACGGCCGGGCGACCATTCAGCGCACGATGACGACCGCGGTGCGGCACCAGTGCGGCACCAGTGCGGCACCGCCTCGGTACAGAACGTCACCGCCCGCTGTAAGTGTCGGCCGTGGAACGGGACGGGCGAGCCTCGGGCCGAGCCGGCCGGTCGGACAAGGCAGTGATCAAACGAAGGGGCAAAACCACAGCGTCAGTGCCCCACCAGCGCCGTGGCCAACCGCTGTGAAAACAACGAGGCCGCGGAGCGTGGAGCGCAGCACGCAGCGCGGCCTCCGCCGTCACGCCCTAGGCCGCCCCGCGCACGCGTCACGCGCCAACTGCCAATCACGGACGCGTATTTAGCGAGTCGCTAATGTGTCAGGCCCTGGCCCAAGCCCTGGTCGGCCGGACGGGGCGTGCTGGAGCACGCAGCGTGTGTCGGCACGCCAGTTCCGAACCGCGTCTGTCTCTCTCGCACCCCCACGGAGCGCCCCGAGACAGCGTTGCGCGCCTTGCCCGCGTTGCGCATTGTCATGCGATAGGCCCTGATAGCGGCGCGGCCGCGGCGTGGACGGCGTGCATCGTGTGGGGCCGCGCACCGCGCCGAGTCCACGCCGTGCGCGACGCCGTGCCGCCGGCCGCGCCGTGTCCGACATCGAGCGCGCCGTTCAGGCCGTTCTGCAGCGAGCGCGGCCAGCGCGGCCAGCGCAGCGCCCAACGAGAAGTCACCCGATCCGGGGCTGTCCGTTGGCGACGCGCACGGAATCCGTCACCGGGGCGGCACTCTGCTGCAAGTACTCATCCGCCAAACAGCAGTCTTTCATCGCCCCGGTCCGGTCCGGTCCGGCCCAGGTTCGGCCGGCTCGGCCTCGGCCTGCCCGCCGTCGGGGACCGTCGGACCTTCCGCGGTTCGGGAAGAAATTAGATCCCGATGGGAACGGCAGTGCGGCAAGCCGCCGGGGCCGTCGCTACGTTTTCAACTGGCCTGTAGAAAGGACTACAAAAGGTTGAAAAGTTATTCCAAAAATTGAATGGGACGCAATTGAAAGGACGACTACGAGAGCGAAATATGTGCAGAAGTGGTTGGTTAATTTTTGCAAGGTCCGCTTTGAGACCTACTTCCCACTCAACCCGTGTGCTTGAGCACCTCTGAAAAGTCGGGAATTTCGTCAAGGAGCCGCATAAGCAGCGACCCGCTGTCAGCGTGCGTGCCTCCCGGTCGTCGGGACGCAAGGCAAACCAGCGGCCACCTTTTTGCGTGAGTTTTCGTGTTGCTCTTACCTGGTCTTACCTGGCCGAAGCGCTGCCGCCCGGTGGGATAGACACGTGTGTCAACAGGGACGGGGTCGCGGCGCAAATGAAGCACGGCATGATCAGCAGACCGATTCCGAGAGTCGTTTTCGTCGCTCTGCCTCTCTCGCACCTCTACGGCGGGCCCACGAGTGCGAGAGAGACAGAGCGGCGAAAACGACTCTGCGGAGCGGAATCAGTCTACTGCTTGGAGTCCCGCCAAAGCGAGCCAAAGGGTCGCCGTGCGGTTTGCAAACACGCCGGATGGCCGGCTTGTTTTCGAAGGCGGTCGACGGGGACGCCCTCGAGGGCCGCGGCGTGGCGTGAGGGAAGCCGACTTACTGCTGCGCCTTCTTTGTGTCCTCGCAGAACGTGTTTAGCCGCCCTGCGACGCCCTGCGAAAGCAAGCCTGCTTTGCCACGGGTCGGCGGCTTTCGGTTCGCTTCCACGCAGAGGCAGCGTCTCCTGTCTCTCTCGCACACATGCGCCATCCCTCATAGTTGCGAGAGAGACGGAGCGACTAAAACGAAGAATCAGTCTGCTGTGGGCCAGCGGTGTCAAACGCCCGTCGAGTCGTTCTCTCCGGCCGCAGCGCGGCGCAGCGCGGCGATACTCCGCGCGTTGGGGCCTTTACGCCTGACGCCGCGCCGCCAAGCCAAGCCGCGCGCCCTCGGTAGCGCGCCGGTGGTCTGCACCGCTAAAACACGGCTACTGACAGGTCGGTAAGGCGAGCGCCGCCTTGCAGGGCTGCCCTGGCCCTGGCCCTGCAGAGCCGTTCCGAACAGCACGACTTGCCGTCTCTCTCGCACCCACACGCGACGCCCCAGAGAGAGTGAGAGAGAGGAAGGCCCGCGCCGTCCGGAATCGGCTGGCCGGCTGGTCCGGCTCGCCGTAATCCCCGTTTCCCTTATCATTTGCATAAGACGCAGCTGCCAACACCTGCCGCCGGCTTCTGTTACAGGGCGGTGAGGCCTTGACCGGGACGGGGCGGGGCCACAGCGGCTGCAGAAGAAGCCGACCCACGAGGAAGCCGTCAGCAGCGCCGCGGACTCCACGGCGACGACAGGCGGGCAAAAACTGGCCTTTACGGACCCGGCCTAGTTGCCGGTCGAGATTTACTTCCTCCCGAGTACAGGCCCGACTGGTAAACCGAGGCCGACTTTTTGCACCCGACGCCTGAACTAGCTTTTTTACGCGAACAGTGGATACTGTCTTAAGTCACATTCGGTTCACGCCGTCGGCGGCGGCGTCAGCTCACCGTCGCCATCATTTCTTTTTGCAGCTCATTGCAATGAGGCATGGCGAGTCACATCGTGCGCGATGGCGCCGAGGCCGCCGCCGTACGTTGCAAGGCGCGACTGTCGCCATCCGCGCAGCCGCGTCGAGCCCCACTTCTTGATGGCGCCGCGGAGCGGCAGGAACAGGCGTCGTGTTGCAGCATTGATGAGACCGGCGAAAAACCAAAGCCGAAACGCGCGTCGCGTCCAGGACATTCCTCGCTAAGACGCCGAGACACTACGCGTCCAGGACCGTCCGCGGCAAGACGTCAACGCCAGCACACCGCGCACGCGCCGCAGCCTGACACGTCCGCCGCGGCATTGTCCAAAACTTTCTCCATCAAGTATAGTCCTCGACTCGCACTGCGGGCTCACTCCGAACAGAGTGGTCCTGTCTCTCTCGCACCTCTACGGAACACCGCGCAAGGCAGAGAGAGACAGAGCACGGTTCGGCCGGCTTCAGCGTCGATGAGATGGCGGGGCGCGGCGCCGCGGCCCGTGGGGCGTACTAATGAGGCGTGCAGCACACTGATTCCGAGAGTCGTTTTCGTCGCTCTGTCTCTCTCACACTCATCGGGCGTCCGGTCCGATGTAGGTGCGAGAGGGACGCGGCGACGAAAACGGCTCTCGAAATCGGTCCGCAGGGTGCGACCTGCGCGTACTGCCGTCAGTGTGCTCTACGAAACACCGCGACGCACCTCGCCTGCTCGCATTGCTGCAACCAACGACGACGCCTCACAGGAAACGCGGCAGTGTGCCGCCGAGGGTGCCCGTCGACGGCGGCCTCGGCACGCGACACGGCGACGTGCGGGGCCGCGCGCGCGTGGAGGAATGCGGTCCTGCAGTACGTGGAGCACGACGGCGGCGGCACGCGCCGCACCGAGCACCCCGACGACGACTCCATCATTTTGGGCGAGGAATTTCATTGACCACTCTGCGCACACTCACACACGCACACAGACACAGACGCGCGCGCCCTTTCCAGGCAGTTCATCGCGAGCGAATGGGGCCGAAGGCGCGGCCGAAGGCATTGTCTCGGACCGCCAGACGCAGCCACTTCCCTCTCGACCGGCCGTCTGCACCGTCGCGCCGTCCAGTCCACGTGCCGTGTCAAATTCGCTTCCATCAAAGTAAAAACATCAAAATAACTACTACGTACCGTCCAAACGCGCTCCTAACTAACGCAGCATTTTACAAGTTGGGCTTCCGGTTTCGTCGCACGTCGTCGAATGAAAGAACAGCGCCTCGCCTCGGAATCGGGCACAGCGACGCCAAGCGGCGCACATCGCGGACGATGGAGCGAGAACACGGCAGCAGTGCGGGTGGGCGGCGCGCTCCGAGAAAGCTCAAACACAGCGCTCTCTGCAATGAGGCATTTCGCAACGCCGTGTGTGTGTGTGTGTGTGTGTCGGGGTGCGCGCTCTACCCAGCAGCAGGTCGAGGCAGGGACGAGCAACAGCAGGGCCTTGAACAGGTGTTGCAGCACGCATGTACGCGTATGTGAGGCGTGGCGGGGCGTGGCGGGGCGTGGCGGGGCGTGGCGACCGCAGGGCGCGGTGCGGTCGCGGGGGTCGCGCGCCTCGCCTCGCCGCGTGGAGGCGAAGCAGGCTAAGCCAGCGAGGTGACGCCGCGGCGAGGCGAGGGTCGAGGCAGACAGAACAGGCGCTGCGCGGAGCGCCCGCTGAATCTCAAATGAAATGCAAATCCTTTATGGGCTGGCTGCGCTGCGCCGCGCTGCGCCGTGCTGCAGGTCGAGTCCAAAGAGTGCGCGTTCGTCGCTCCGTCTCCCTCGAACGACTACGGGACGCCCCGCGAGTGCGAGAGAGACAGCGCGACGACGCGCCGCCCGGAGCCAGCCTGCTCGCTGCAGTGTCGCGCCGCGCCTGCAGACTGAGAGTCGTTGTCGTCGCTCTGTCTCTCTCGCGCCTCTAGGGGACTCCCCACGAGTGCGAAAGAGACAGAGCGACGAAAACGACTCTCAGTCTGCAGGCCGCCGTGTTCTTCTTTCGCGCGGCTCTGTCGCGGCGTCGCGTCGCCCTGCTGGCAATCGCTGCTAGGTTCCACACCGCGGGGCTTCAGACACAAACTGCTTTTCTGGCTTTTTATCCAAATTGCGTTCTATTCTTTCTTTTCAGGTTTTGTACAATTCTATAATCTTCATAAACAATTCTCTTTTTATCACAAATTTTATTTTACAGTCGAGCAGCGTCACGTCTATCTTGGCTAGTACAAAATCGCGCGGTGACAGTGGCTAGGATTTAATTTGAGGAACATTAAACATATCTTAAAAACTGAAAGAGAAAATTTTAGAGAGAGCAGACCTGGACGGATCATGCAAAAAAATGCAAATCGTTTCACGGTTTTCAACACAACCTCTGAAAACTAAATCAAACACATCACTGCAGAAAAACTGAGTTATCTACGCCTGCATTAAACAGCACTCACGTGCCTTATCACATAGTTTTCATAGTTCATAAAGACTTCTGGAGAAACGAAATCTCAGTTACAGCTGTACAGAGAAACAACGAACACAAACAGTATATACAGTCATTGAGATCATATTTTACAGGGCAGTTGCAACAACAGCTGGCGCTCACAGACAGCGCGCTATCTTCGGCGGGTTCGTTCAACAATGTACACGTGGCGGTTTCTGCCTCGTTCTCAGTCTCAGTTCGCTGCACGAAACGCGCGAAGGTCCTGAGGCGGAGGCCGCGGTCACTCGGCGACGGCGGCCCTGGCCGTCCGGGACGCCAGGGGGTTCACCTCGTCGGCGTCGAGGCCCGCCATGCCGGCGTCCACGTCGTCGTCCAGGTCGTCCAGGTCGTCCATGTCGTCGTCCAGGATGTCGTCGACGCCCAGCAGCCCGGCCCCGAGACCGCCGAGGCCGGCGCCGAGGGCGGCGGCTGCCGCGGCGCCCAGGTTGTGCGTCAGCGAGTGGCGGCGCAGGTCGCAGTTCCGGCGGAACACCTTGCCGCAGGACGCGCAGTGGTACGGCTTGATGTCCGTGTGCGTCAACAGGTGGGTCTTGAGGTTGGAGCGCTGATTGAAGGAGCGGCTGCACACCGGGCACTTGTGCGGCGACTCCTCCAGGTGGAGGATCTTGTGCACGGCCAGGGTGCGCGACTGGCAGAAGCCCTTGCCGCAGGACAGGCACTTGAAGGGCTTTTCCTTGGAGTGGATGTACCTGCAACAGGCAACGCGCTGCGGTCAGATTGCGGGAATCGGCCAAAACAAAACGAGATGCGCCAGGATTCGAAGCCAGGGCGGCGCGGGCACGTGCTTCGAGGGGAAGGTGGAGAGGAGGGGCGGCGGCGACGGCCCGTAAAGACACTGCGAGTCGGCAGTGCCGCGCCCAGACAACAGTGGGCATGTCAGGCTGGGCTGGGCGCGCGGCCCTTCGAGACGTGGGTGTCGTGCCGGGCCGCGGTGCCGCCTTGCCGCGGCGTCGCCCCGCTGCACTTTGAGCCGCCGCTACGCTGAGTCGTGCCGGCCAGCCGGACGTGCCGCTTTAGGGACGCGCCCCGCGAGCCGGACCGCGAGCCGGACCGCGAGCCGGACCGCGAGCCGGACCGCCAACCGGACCGCGAGCCCGGCCTGCAGACTGATTCCGAGAGTCGCTTTCGTCGCTCTGTCTCGATCGCTCTCATGGGGCGTCTCGTACATGTGCGAGAGGGTCAGAGCGACGAAAACGACTCTTGCGGAATAGTCTGCTGGACCGCGTGCTGCTTTCCAACAGTGCTCTCTTCGCTGTCTCCCTCACACTGGCAGGGCGTTCTGTTAGAGTAGGAGAGAGACTGTTTGGACCGCAGCTAAACGACGCCGCGGCACGGAGTCACGGCGTGGCAAGCCACTGGCAAGGACCGCGCCGTGAGCCGAAGCCTCGCGTGGGCGCTTGTCGAATCGCCGGCCGACGGTGTGTGACGGCGCGCGAGCATCCGCGAGGCCGTGGACCGAAGGCACCTCGAGGGCGACAAGCAGTGCCCCAAGCCCGTCACGATGCCGACGGCGGAATGACAATGGAGTTACGCCGACATGATGGTGATGGGGCGGGTAATGGGTGATCGCGGTGCATCGGTGTCGCCTTGCTTATGCACCCGAGTCATTGACAGCGAGGACAGACAGGCGGACAGACCGATCACAGTTTTCCCCCCAATAAGGATACGAGCAAGGCCGTCGCACGTACTTCAACGTCTGCCGTCGGAAGGGTTGCCTACCTCGGCGTGAGGCCGACCCAAATGGAGCTCAGAGCAAAAAGGATTTTATTTTTACGACTCACTTATCCGCGCGCGCTCTCCGCCGAGACCGCCCAGATGGAGGGAATACATACAGCACCTCGCGAAGCTCAACGCAGGGCTGCCATTCCGTGTGTTCTGATAAGGACTGGAAGGACCGGTAGAATGCGAGGCGTGTGGGTGATCGCGCGCGTGTGCCCTCCCGTGCGGTGTGTGTGTGTGTGTGTGTGTGTGTGTGTGTGTGTGTGGCGTGCTCGAGATGTATGCCTCGCAGTCAGCAGCACCATACAGCGCGCAGGGTCCGTGTGTCGCCACACTGTCCGGTGGCCGAGAGTGTGCTGACGGCATGCGGCCCGACGCGGCCGGCCAAAGTGGTTTTGGAGGTTGGCCGCGCGCCCCTCCGCGATAACGGCCAGGATGGCGGCGGTGATGGCCGAGAAGGCCGTGTCGATGGCGTGGTGGTCGAGCACTCGTCGCGCCGCGCGTTGAGGTCTCCGGCACGCGTCCCGCACAAAGTGCGAATGAAAGGTGACAGCCCCGGGAGACCACAAGAGCCAAAATAATGACTACATGTTCAACTGATCGATTTCGGTCGATTTTGAAGTCCGCTTGGACATCGACATGACCCTCGGCTACCCTGTTCTCCTTAGAAAGTACGTTTACTTGGAAAGTCGCATCGACTTCCAGGACCGACGACAAGTAGGGGCACAGGCTAAGCCAGGCGGCTCGCCATTTTCCCATTCACCCTGCCCCGGCGCGTGCCACCCTCCCCTCCCCTTGTTTCCGGCCGGCCCGCCCCGCCCCGCGCCGCTGTGACGCATTGTGTGTACACGCATCCGGACTGATACGGCCGGAGTGAAGTGAAGACCCGTGTTCCTCGGGGCCGCGCGGCGGGAGTCGGTCTGTCTCTCTCGCACCTTTACGGGACGCCCCATGAGAGCGAGAGAGAGAGCAACCTCCGTGTCGCCACGCCTTGCGGGACCACCGCGGACGCCGCGCGCGTGTCGCCGGCAGGGTCCAGCACCAAAGCGACACCGCTGTTCGGGACCGTCGTCGTCGTCCGTCTCCCAGCAGCAGGCTTGACGCCGAGCTTGACGCCGAGCTTGACGCCGAGCTTGACGCCGAGCTTGACGCCGAGCTTGACGCCGAGCTTGACGCGCACCGTCAGCGAAGCGCCGCGCCTCGCCGCCGCCCTTTCCCATGTTTTGAACCGCAAGTGACTTATGGCTCGGCGGACCGGTGCGCGGCGCACATGCCGCACTGCGAGGACCGCCAGTGGACCCACCGCGTGCGGCCGGCAGCCGGGCGCACCTAACCGCACGGCCCGGCCGGTACGGCACTGCTGCTGCGGGGTCACGCACGGTTATTGACTTCTAGTGCGCCAGTGCTCGTCGCTCTGTCTCCCACGAGTGCGAGAGAGACAGCGACGAAAGCCCTGATCAGTCGGCGGCGGGTCCTAGGCGTGCCGCCGCTGCCGCCGCGTGCCGCCCAGCCTGACGCGCTCCTTGACGACGACCGCGAGTGACTCACCGCCACGCCGCGGCTCGCTCGTATCGATAACCGGGCGGTAAAGCAACGAGACAGGGCGACCGGCAGGGCGGCCGGCCGGGTGGGGCCCCACCGTGGGGCTCACTCTGCTCACACTCCGCGAAGAGTATAAACTTTTGGTCGGAAGTACGACATCAATTTGTTGGCGCGCGTGGCCGCCGATTTGGGGTCGGGTCGGGGCCGTCCGGCTGGTTGGGGCCAGCCCTTAACATTCACTCAGACACACGCACACATGCACAGGCTTGCACACATACACACAGACGAACGCGCACACACACGTCGACGCCTCGGCGCGGTTCATTCATTGCAGGCTGCACCTTGTACACTTGTACACACCCAACCGGCCGAAGAAGTCAGAGGAGTGAGTACGTACTGTAAGCGGAGATAAACCACCGCCGCGGACGGACACGCTCAGCATTAATGCCGACACACACACACACACACACACAGTCCATTTTGACGCCGTGCAGCAGGGTGGTGTGGTCCAGGATGTACTGTATCCTCGCGGCCGGACGCGTGAATCCGAACACACACACACACACAAGCGCGCGTGCGTACACACACACACACACACACACCATATCGCCCCGCCGGCGGGATGTTTTTCGATTACCGAGGCGATTCGCGGGGCGAGAGATCGGTTTTCGCGGAGAGCCACACAGAGATGAAAGTGCCACCAGATACCTCAAAGAGGGTTTTCGCAGAGAAATTCCGGTCGGACTTTGATCGCGTCGCGCGACCACCCGCAGAGGTAAAGGAACCCTGCGACGGGAAGAACGCCAATCAGGATACGGATACTGTGTGTCGCTGGCGGGGCGGGGCGGGGCGGGGGGCGGGGCGGGGCGGGGCGGGCGCGGCGACGTGGCTACTAAATCGCGGCGTCGTGACGGCGGGCTGTGACGCGACCGCGGCGACGCATGCGGGCGAGTCACGTGACGACGGCGTGAGTTACCGCGCCGCCATACGGCACCGTGCAGCCAAGCGGTTCCGAACACCGCTTTCTGTCTCTCTCGCACCCCCACGGCACGAGTGTGGGAGAGCCTCGACGGCAGCACAGCGCGCCGCACAGCCCGTGCCAACGTCGCGAGCGTCGCGAGGCTTTCGAGAAAAGAAAACTGTACCTGTGGTCCCGGAGGTGGTCCTGGCGGCGGAACGCCTTGCCGCAGATGTCGCACGAGTAGGGCCGCTCGTCCGTGTGCGTGCGCTCGTGGATCAGCAGGTTGTAGGACTTGGTGAACTGGCGGTTGCAGAACTTGCAGATGAACTGCTTCTTGGGGCGGGACGCCCTGCCGCCGCCCGCCGACGAGCTGACGGCCGAGGACGCCACGGGGGCCGTGGCCGTGGAGGACACGGACAGCGAGGACGCCGTGGCGGTCGTCGCGGGGGTCGCCGGCTTTGGCGGGGGCGCCCGGTACTTGGCGGTCGGGTACGGGCTGTCCCCGGGGAAGGCGGGGAACTGACTAGTCCTGCTGTCCTCTGTCCTGCCGACATCATCGTCGCCATCCTCGAGGTCGTCGTCGCGGTGGTCTGCGCTCGGAGACCGCGGCGAGGAGGGTCGCGTCCGCTCGGTCGCGGCCACCGTGGACGAGGGTGAGGCATCCGGCGAGGGTGGCGGGGACGCGGCGGCCTCGAGCGGCGCGGGGGCGGTGAGGGCGGACTTGACGGCGCCCAGGCTGGTGGCGGTGGCCAGCCGCAGGAGGTCCAGTGGCAAGGGGTTGGCGCCGGAGGCGTTGGCTCCACCGGGGGCGGCGAGCCGTTGCAACGTGAGGTACGACTCCAGGGCCTGCAGGTTGAGGGCGGCGGCGGCGGCCGAGTTGGGGGGCAGCAGGGCGGCCTGCTGCAGCGAGGACACCAGCACGCTTTGCAGGGACAGCGCCAGCCCCACCCCCAGCAGGCCGCCGCCCCCGGCCGCCCCCGAGACCATGGCGGCGGAGCGCGAGCCGCGAGGGGTGGCCGCCTCCGCGGGCGCGCAAAGACCGCTCAGCGAGTTGAGCGACGTGGCCTCCAACATGGCTAGGTACCGCAGCAGGTCCGCGGTGCCGTTCAGGTCCTCGTTGTTGTTGCTGATGATGCTATTGTTGTTTGCCTTGTCTGATATCTGCTTGTGCATATCAGACTGCTTCATGGCGCGCGGGCCGGCGGCCCATGGGGTTGGCGGCGGCCGGCGAGGGGGTGGGGGAGCGGCGCCGCTCAGGCGGTCATGTCTTCCTGCAACACACAAGGCGCCTCATTAGTGCAATTCCCGTTGCGCGCAGCGCGCCTCGCCTCGCCTCGCAGAATGCCGTCGCGCTGTCTCTCTCGCGCCAGTCCGGGACGCCCTCAGAGTGCGAGGGAGACACAGCGCCGCTCGGAACCAGCCTGCTGGGAGTTATACGGCCGCGACGGTCCGAGCGACCCCGGCGCAATCCCGCAGTCCAGAGAGTAAAGTCGCGTCGGCCGCGCCATAAAGTCGACGCCTCCAGCCTCCAGGCCCTCCAGGCCCTCCAGCCTGGAGTCCAGGCTCGGCGCACGGCCGGCCGGCCTCTCCGGCGCCGTCACCGCTACGCGGAGTCCGTCCACGACCAAGTCCACGACCGTCCACGGCACACGACGCTTTAGCACTGCCTTTTTGGAACCGTGGCCGCCGGCTGTCCGCGTGGCACTAGGTAGTTTTAACACCGCACGACGGGACGCGGACAGCCGGCGAGGGGGAACAACTTCCCACATTCACGGTACAAAATCTGAACACGCTCCAATTCTGGAGGCAACATGTGAGGCAAATACGTCGAAATTCACAGAATCATTGAGCACAAAATTTTACAGAGGGTCAGCCCTTGGCAGCCGGGTACAGGGGTCTCGGCGACGACGGCGCTGAGACAACACGGCGGCCGTCAGTCCGTTCGTCCGCCCGTCACGGACGCCGACGTGACGCGTGCGCCACGCTGTTTCGAATAATTAGCGGACACTAAAGTGCGCCTCAACGCGCTTCGCTTCGCCTGGCCGCGGCGTCGGGCCGGCAGGCCGGCAGGCCGTCGGGGCGCCAAACGACCCGGTCGTACGACGGCCCTGCGCGCCGCGCCGCCACGCCGCGTACCTACACGCGAAAAAACAAAATGGCCCGTCCGCGCCAAACCAGTTCCCCGCCTTAATTAATACGCCTCCCGCACTCGTAAACGGGAGTATTTATACGGAAATGTGACGCGTGGGTACACCATTCGTTTCGGGGTAATATTCGAAATTATTCATGGTGCCGCTTGCCGGCCCCGTCTTGTTATCGGCAATGTTTTATTAAGGTGAAAACAGTCGTATAACGCCCAGCGATATAAACAGGCGCGGCTCCGCGGAGTGGAAAAAACCCTTTTGCAGGACCGCGATGAGTTGGAACTCTCCTTCGAGGTGGAGCTGATCAAGAGGGGAGTCTGGAGGCACCAGATCGAACCTAATTGAAACCCTATTCGGGAAAGCAGGCGTCCCCATCGACATCCCTCGCAAGCCTTTCCAGCCGCCCGGCTGACCCGGGACTCGCTCGGCCCTGGGCGTGACCCAGGGATTCGGGAGCGCAGCCAAAGTGTCGATAATATTCCGTTTTGCAGAGACATTTATGACCCACAACATCACTCACGGCTGCCCGGGCTGACCCTTAAACTCGCCCCGGGGTGTCGATTGCTAGCCTTTTCTGTTTTTGTTTCTTTCCTGGTTCTGTGGGAGGCTGCCGGGGCAAGGGGCCGTGTACGACTCGAAGGGGGTGAGGGCGGTGCGGTGCGGGGGTGTCCCTTGTTGACCTTCCTGATACGTATCTCCTCACCATGACGTGGGCAAGGCAGGCAACGGCAGGCACGGCCAGCTTGACGCGGCCCAACCGGCCCAACGCATGTTGTCTGGACCATCTGCCTGCGCCACGCCGCATTTCATTGTTTTAGGATCATTGCCCAATTTTCTCCCGTGTGGGGCACGGAGCGTCAGCAGCTCCTCTAAGGGGCTAGGCTAATGTGAGCCCAGCAGGGATGATGCGCGTGTGAGTGAGGTGTGGTCATCAGCTAATAAAGGGGAGGGGGGCTGGGAGGGTGAGTCATGGTCCAACAGGTGGGCCGCTTTGGGCAAAAGCGACATTTTGCGATGCTGGAGGACTGACAGTAATTCGGCAGCATTCATTTTAAACCGCGAGAATTGAGTTAACTGAGCCAACCTAGGGCGTCTATATGCTCCTCACATAACACAAGTGGAATCACAAATCTTTTATATGAATTCTCCAGCTAGAGCCAAACGTAGACGGCGACAGTTTAAGTTGTCTAACGACAAACCCTAGGAATGTCAAGCATCAGCGCCAGAGGAGTGACAGCAGAGTAAGAAGAAGCAAGGGTCACTGTCACCAAGATACAGGGTACGCCCTACCTAACCTCAAAATGCTCACCCCCACCCCTCCCCCGCACTCTCTCTCGTTCACACTCACTTCCACGCACCAACACAAACAACAAACTAATTGATAATGGCACTGTACCTGATTGGGAGATCGCTGCGCTGAATGGCGGAGACAGCAGTGCAGCGTCCAGCAGCGTCCCGCGGCACACCGTGTCACTCCCTATCCGGGCCGTCACCCACCATGGCAGTGTCGCACTTGTCACACGCTGTATAGTCACAACACAACACAAATCACAACACAGGCACGCGCGAAGACGACGACGAGGAGGACGGCGTCGATGGCGGAGAAGCGGAGCGCGCGCCGGGACTTGACTGTCTGCGGCTAACTCCAGCACGGAGCCTGTTCCGCGCAAGAGGTCCTGGCAAGGTCCTGGACGGAGCGGCGAGGCAGCACCAGGACTCACAGGACCTGCCCTGCCTCCTGCCCTGCCAGGCCTGCCAGCACCGGCGGGGCCACCTCGGCGCACCGCAGGACTCTCGGCCGGCGCAGGCGGCGCAGCATCCAGGCGGCCGGCCCGAGCTGGCAGCACGCCGCGCAGGTGGGGGGCAGGGGAGGGGAGGGGGCCGGGCCGGTCCGCGACGGGGAAGGGGTGACCGGAGGATGGCCCCACGAGGCCCCGCAGACCAACTGGAGACCCCCCGCGTCCTCCGCCTGAGCCGTCTCGACTCTCTCTCTCTCTCTCTCTCTCTTCTCTCTCTTTCTCGTAGCGTCCACGCCGTCAGTACCCAGCTGTCTGTTCAATGAAGTTGGCTACTCATATTTATGTATTAAATGTGCACACTTTCGGAATAAACATCTACCGCAAAATCGATATATCTTCGACGGGCATTCCAAACAGACGACCCGAAAAAATAAACATACGTCAAGCAAACCTTCCACACACGGCTTCAAATCAGTCAATTTCGCACAGGTTCGTCAGAGCTGCCGCTTGGAACAGAGTCGGCGGTCCAGTGTAAACGCCTGGTCGCCGCACCGCCCTAAATCACCGAGTCCGCAAAGACGCGACGAGCGGCGTCCTTGCAAGCTGCAGAGGCTTGCCGAGCGCGTCCAGCTGCGCGCGCGCAAACCACGTCAGCGTCGCATAATGTCACCTGAGCGACTCGCCGGCGACTTGGCAGTGCCCCGCGCGCTCCGCACGCGCGCCGTGGCGTGCCGCGCCAGGATGACCGCGCTGAGGGGCACGGCGGGACGCGGGGGATGCAGCACGAGCGCGGGAAAGCGCCGCGGGCGTCTTCACGAGGGGCAGTGAGTGGCGGGGCGTGGCGGGGCGTGGCGGGGCGTGGCGGGGTGGGGCGTACTCGTTAACGGCCCGCGATGAGTCACGACAAGTTTGTCCGGAAGCAAGCCAAGCAGACCGACCGACCAACCGGCCGGCGGGGTCCCCGACGTCACACACGTTTGTCACCTTCCCGATTTCGTCGAAAGAGCGTGGCCCGACCAGTGCGGCTGCCGGCCTCTTCAAACGAGCGGGCGGAGCAGGCAGTACGCGGCGGTGCTCCTCCTTGGGACAATATTGGCTCAGGCGCGGCCGCGTTGCCCGCGGGTTCGCGCCGCGGCGTCGCCTCGCGCGATGCCCCCGCCGGATGCGACAAGGCCTCCTCGGCCGCACTTCGGGAAGTCCGCCAGGGCCCCCTTCCTCCCTTCCGCCACAAACAGCGACTTCCGTTCTGGACATGAATCACCGCCGCGTCGTAAGGATGGCCAGGCGAACTGAACATTGCCAGCCGCCACCCGCGCAAGTGCGTCCACCATCAGGACGGTGTGCGTGGTGGCCGGGCCGACGGTGTGCGGCCCTCGCGGCGGAATAATGCAGCCCTGTGCCGCTCGGCCGATCCCTGTCCGAACGACAGCCGCTGCCATCGACCGAGAGAGAAAGGAATAGAGGGAGGAAAGGAGAGCACGACGGGGAGAGAGCGAGAGATGGACGGCATCCAGGTTCGACTGCCGGTGCCGAGCTTGGCTTTCCGGCCGTTCAGCAGGCCAGAGACAATGAATGGGCGTGGCGGGGCGTGGTGGGGCGCGGCGGGGCGTGGTGGGGCGTGGCGGGGCGTGGCGGGGCGTGGCGGGGCGTGGTGGGGCGCGGCGGCCCCCAGTAACCCCGTCTCTGTCGCACCCACGGCAACGCAGCGGTCGCAAAGACACACACATGCACTGGTCAGTGCCCGTGCAGCATCAATGGGATGGCCCAGCGCCCCTTGAGCCAGACAGAGAAAGACGAGGACGGTAAACGAGGGCCTGAGGACGTCGTGGAGCCCGGCATGGCGTTGCCCGGGCGGTGCCCCGCGGGGCCAGGCATGTGCGACAGAGAGAGAGAGTCGCAATGCAAACCGGGAGGGACAGAGAACACCTCGGAGCGCAGCAGTCGAGATATCCCTTTCATCGGCCGCCGCGTCGTGTCCATTCAAGTCTGCACCAAGTCCACAACATGTACTCGCTCACGCCAGCTCCCGCCCGATTTTCAGTGTGTGTGTGAGTTGCTCGAATCACGCGAAGGATATTATCCTCTTGGCGCCACCCGCCTGTACCGATCACGCAATCGAGTGGAGCGGAAACGGCAACAAGCGACACGTTAATTAATGATTTGGAAGGAGTACGCGCGCACGCGCCGTGTGTGGGCGTGGTGGGCGTCCTTGGGGGCGGCAGTGCAGTGCCGCGGTGGCCGCGGTGGCGGGGCAACGACCGATGGGCGCGACACTTGCGTCAAGTCATGCACATCCCGTGCACCGCGTGCGCCGCGCTGCCTGCGCGGTACAGACGCAGGGGCGGATTGCTATCGGCATGATGACGAGAATGGTACAGTGGTACGGCAAGGGCAGCCTGCCTTCGCTTGACACTTGGATGCCCCTGCCGGTGGGGCCGTGCCGCCGCTCCGCCACCCGCCCGTGCGCCGGGCCCGTCGGGGACCCACTGTGATTCTAATTACCTGGCGAAGCCCCCCACGACTTCGGGCCGCGGCGGCGGGGCCGTCGGAAGTGCGACCGCTGTGACGCTGAGACACGCGCTGGTGCTCATCGGCCTCGTCCACGCACCTGCCGAGGAAGCCCATAGAGCGCTCTCCTTTCCTGCGATTTGGCGAGACGGTTTTGCGACGCTGCAGGAGGGGCCCCCACGGGGGGCCCTGAAAGGCCCGAAAGGCACGTGCTCTTCCTGCAGGCGTCGACAGGATGCTTTATCCCGCGTCCTGCGGAGACCGGCCGCCGTTCTGTTTTCTTTTTCGCGCCAACCGGTTTCACCGCCAAATTCGAAATTGGATGTCCGGGGTGCGCGCGGCGTGTCGGGTCGGTGTGCGCCCCGATGGACTCTTCAGGTTGAGTAAATGGTCCGGCGGACGAGAACCGACGAGAGTTGAACCCGCGGCGTCAAGCCTGACCCCTGGCGATGGCCCCTGGCAGTAGTGTCGGCCTGCCTGCCAGGCCCGTGACGCTGATGGAGCTGCCAGAGCGCAGAGCGCTATGACCCAGACCGATCGGAGAGGCCGTGTTGACGAACGGGATCTCCAATGAACACACGCCGAGTGAGCGCGCGCGCTTGTGTGTGCGTATATGTGGACACCGCTCGGTACACAGCACGCTCCACTAAAGCACGAGTCTTTTCCACAAGTGCATCCACTGTCAGGCACGCTTAATTTTCATCGAAATTTGGAATCACAAACTGACCCAGCACTATAACTCAACGTCAATCAGATAAGACACGAAAAATCATAGTGACCTGATCTTGATACTCTCGCACTCCGTGAGGGCGACGTCCTCCAACGACAAACTGCTTCTGCGGCAGTCGCCGAAGTGGCTCAGATTTATTGACAAGGCGGCTGCCCTGCGCTGCCCAGCGCCGCTCCGGCGCTTGTGATTTAGTCGCCGGGGCACGCACGTCGCCCTCCTGAAAAACGACGAGCTTCGCCTTGCGCGCGTTTCGGCGGAGATGTCGTCTAGTCGTGCCCCTCCTGCGCCGCACGACACCCGATCCCCGTCCCTGACCGTCCCTGGCCTGGCCGTAGGACGCCGTTGGCGCCGCACGGTGCGCCTGGCCGCCCCTGTCATGACACTCGTTGCGGTGTGGCACGGTGTGGTCCCCGGCGCGCCCATGACCCTCACGTCGCTGATGGGCAAAGGGCTTCATGGAATCCGACTCGAACTTGATCCGAACCGAAACCGAGCCGCGCGCACCCCGGTAGTCGTGCCTGGGAACGGGTAGGCTGGCGCCACCGCGCTCCGCCAAGGCTGCGCCAAGGCTGCGCCAAGGCTGCGCCCCGAGGCCGAGGCAAACGCCTAGCTTGCGTCTGGGAGGCTAGCCGGGCGGCGGGAAGGCGCCGTCTGGCTAAGTCTGCCACCGGAATCCCCTCAACTGCCTGACGGCCGAGTCGGCCGCGTCACTAATGGCCTGCGGGTGACGTGGCCGCCCCGATCGGGCCGCAGGCACCGCGACTGCACGGCAAGCAAGCAGCCCGCCCACGCCCTGCCGAATGACAGCGGCAGCCACCGAAGGTGCGCGTGCGAAACGCCGTGGTGTCCTCGGACGCAGCCCCAGGTGCGTGGCGTCCATTAAACCCCCGCCGAGGGGCACTGCCTGCCGGGCCACGGGGGCCGCGTCGAGCCCCTTTTACCCCCCGCGAGGGGCATTCCGGCAATGCCATGCCGTACGAGGGAGCGACCGCCGCGCGCCACGCCATCTGCGCGCCGCGCCGAGACAATACATTTATCATACAGAAACACGGGATGGTGGAAGAGCCGCTGGGGGTCATCCCGGTCCGTCCGGGGAGTCCGGTGGCCGCCAGAAGCCGGCACCAGTTCAATTAGGCATTTATCTCAATCTTAATATCTCCGCCGGCCGCCACATTACTGGAGGCGTAGGCCCGTTTGGCGTTATAGAGCTGTCTAGGAGACGACGCGCATGTCGGCGACAGCGGTGCTGCATGCAGCCTCCCCCGCGCGGCTCGACGGGGAAAGCTCTGCGTACTTTCTCTGCGAGGCTCGCTGCTCCCGTCATGAAGGCCGTCGGCGCGAACGCTTGACTGTGAAGCGCAGGGCGGTGCGGCAGGAAAGCAACGCTGGCGTACCTACGGCTCCCACACGACGCAGTTGCGGCGCTCTGCCCAGGATGCGCCGCGTTTCTCCTGTCCGGGCGTCATGCAGTCACCTCCACGGCCGGCACCCATTATCTAATGCTGTTACGTCCCGTCCCAAATCAAGAAACGCCTTGGCCGCTCATGCCGTGGTGTCGTTTCCAGAGTGCACCCCGGTTTTCCTTTTATTCGCCTCGCTGCCTAGGGTGGTGGGCTGGCGCATCGCGTGCGGCACGTATGGCCGGGGCATCTCGTTGTCGCACCACCAAAAAAGCAAAAAACACACACCGGTCTTGCTCTCTTTTGCCCGGGGTGGCCGTCTGCAGGTTTATGCGCGGCCGCATCGATTCCTGCCAAAGCGTCGGACGGAGACGAACCGCCGCCCCGGACGCACGCGC